GGATGATCTCAAGGCTGCAGTATTTCATGTTGATTCCCGTTAGATAAACAGAGTTACCAGTTTGGAAGTTGCCTCTTGTTTACGCTGCTGATTCCATTACGCCCGGGGGGCTAGTTGCTTAGACCATATTGGAGGTGCCATTGTGCTTATGAAAGCAATTTCCACGTTTTTTAGCTAAGTTTGGAAGTGAGTTTCATACTTTTTTCCACCGTTAACAAAACCCCTGGTTGGGACACCCTCTTTATCATCAAGGGGGAGGAGGGAACAGCAAATGTGTTTGGAGCTGGCAGTTTAAAGACGCCCCTGGACCAGAAGAGACTGGGACCAAAGAGTTTTATTTATTTTCTCCTGTGTACTATTTACTATGTTTTTTGTTTTGTACTTGTACTATGTGTACTATTCTTCTCTGTAAATCTGTACTGCCACAAGCTTAGGATGTGTTTGCTAAGGTTGTGTGTGTTTGTGTGTGTGACATGGCACAATGCAATGCTGACAACACTGGAAGGCAGCTTCTTCCAGTTTTTTAGGGAAAAGCATTTTCTGAGCTAACATGGTTTATTTCAGTGAGGAAGAATAGGAGTAAAGATATCAAAGGCAGGAAGGAAGGAAGATACTGTAGCAACTGTACATGGGCTGTGTGAAGAAGCACAACAGAATACAGTCTTTTTTATATTTCACCCTGCATAACTTACCTTACCTAATCGCCTTATTCTAAGTAAAACAGGCATTGTCACCATGCTACCAAGGTGTAAAGCACTCACCTTTCCATTGTAGACATCCATTATTGAACAGTGATATATTCTTAGTCCTGGCACCGACAATTAACCATCTGAAAACACAGTGTGACAAGGTGTACTATTGCTCATGCTAAATTATGTACTGAGCCACAAGCTTTTGTAAACTTCAGCGCCAATTCATCTCAAGAACCTCTTTTGTTTGAGAGCTTAATCGTTTGCTAATTAGCGTCCTTGCTAACAGACACTCTCAGTGGAAATATACGATTACATAGCCCATCGACAGGCTCAGTAAACAAAGGCTGTTTGCCAAACTGCCAAAGCAGTTGTTGTAAAGCTGGAGAGGGGCAAATCTATCATTTGTTTGTGTGTGTGTGTGTGTGTGTGTGTGTGTGTGTGTGTGTGTGTGTGTGTGTGTGTGTGTGTGTGTGTGTGTGTGTGTGTGCAGCCTACTGTATGTGAGTGTGCATGCATTTATGTGAGAATGAGTGACAGAAGAAAACAGAGAAAGTGAGACACAAGGGAAAGGGGGAAAACAAGAAGAGTGTGATTGTTGGGCACATTTGGATTTCACTGTGTGCCTCTCAGTTATTGAGTGTTGATTTGAACCAGATTTGAGTGAACATGTTGGTTTGTTCGTAAGTGACAGTGCTGAGAGTCTAGACAGCCTGAAATAGGTGACCTCAGACAGATGGCTTGGTGCTGCAAAACTGAGAGAGGTGGGTGGACTGAGAGACGGAGAGAAAGAAAAGGAGAAAGGGATAAGAGGTGATAGAGGAAAGCGAGCAACACGAGTGATGTTATCTGACAGATTTAGGCATGTTGTTTTTACGACCAGTGGTGCAAAGTACGTGTGATCCCTTCCAAAATAAACTATCCAGTAGTTCGTATACTCAAACATTTCAAATGTAAATAGTCATTTTTTGTATGTGAACTCTAGACAATACCCGGAGAATCAGGTCCGCACATTGTCTGGAGTTTCCCTCTCACACATTTAGCTCACAACAGGAGTGTGTCCGTGAACGCCCCGGACCAAGGGCATATTACTAAATATGGTTTGGCAAAGTCCGTTTGATGTTGTGTCAAACATTTGTGTTCTTACATACAGCTCATCTGGAGAAATGCAGATAATATCAGAGTTGCAGTGCATGTTTGAAGCTTAAATGCATTATTAGCTGTTTCACCAAAGAGACGTTACCCCACTAAACTTCACTGATAGTTTCATTTAAGGCTCCTAGCCAAAGAGGTACAATTACATCTTAATATTCACATCGCAGTACATTCATTGTTTTAAATGGTCCTAGTACTCCTTCCATCACTGGATGTAATGTTAGTGTACTGATGGAACTACAACAACTAGAACTTTCTCCATCTATGTTTCACTATTCTTCCTCCTAATGCTCTTTAACTTAGTCCTATGGTCTGTGCCATTTCAAGACAAAAGGCTTGGGAGATAAGAGCAAGAGGGAAATGATTAACAGAAAAATAGCAAACAGATAGTGTTCACAGGTAGAGCTTGAGGGAACAGTCAGGTGGCAATGTAGAACAAATTCTGCAATAAGATTTGAAAAATTAATCCGATGATTTGTGTCCTTTCCCTCGTCCTCACTTCTCTCTGCCTCTTTCTTTCTCTGGATCATATCATTTGCTCTCCTGACAGAAAGTGTGCTTTTCTGTGATGGAGTGTAACATACCGGGGCTTAGTTTTGATTGTCACCACAGGCCCACAGATTACATGGGGCCACAGTCAATGGGAAAAGAGCTAAGTCCTCTAGAATGGAGTACATCTACAGCCTTCAGCCAGCATGACTCACGGGAATCTAGCCAAATTGGCAACCTGCTAGCAAGGCAGTCACTAAGACAGAAAGACAGGTGTCACACCAATAACTACTTCTGTGCTTA